ATGACTCTTGATCCATGGCTATCTCTGGTTGGTCTCTCTGTGTTGTTGTCATAGTCCATGTAGCTTATCACATGCACATGTAGTAATCTGGACTTTTTGGGCCTTCTCCTAATTTTGTCTGTTCCCCCAAAACTAGGACTCGGACCTCCCCTTGCTCTGGAGCCTTGTTAGCTGGTGTGATTTTATCTTGTGTTATGGGCACTGTAGTACATACTCCCAGTTCCCAGACCATTTGTCCTTGTTGTGTTAGCAGTATGGTACATGCCCCCTCAATAATGTGAATGAATGCAATCAGCATTTATTAAGGGGAATTACTGAATTGGGCCAATTATCTTAGAATTTTACTTGGACATAAACCATATTTGTGGCTTGTATATGATGAAGGTTAAGTCTACATCACATGGATTCTTTGGAGCATGTTATATATGTAGGTGGATGCCCTGCTGGGAGGTGTATCCAGAGACATTCCTTGGGAGGGGTGAATCGGGGTGACCACCTCAGGCCCCGTGCTTTGGGGGCCCCCATGGACAGTGTTGTCCAGGTCATGCAAACAGCGCCATTGGCATGTGTCAATGGCGCCACCACTCTGCGTGGCTCTGCATGCTGCCAGCTTCATGCTCTGGCCACTCACCACCACCTTCCCCCGCAACCCTGCATAGGCTGATACGCCCCTAGGATCAGCTCTGGGTGTATCATTCTCCTTCCTTTCCACATTGATCTAATATTTTCCTTTAAATCAGTTTCCTTTTGTACAGGAGTAAGATCTGATGTTTTTCTTTTTCCACAAAAATTGATATCAACAACACAACTTTTATGCCATCTGGTTAGTTACAACTTTCCTAAACCAATGACGTCAACAGCAAAAATCTGCCAACTTCACTTATAATTATAATAGTAATTCTTATTAGCTAGAGGATGCTATTCTGATGCCCAGAACCAAATGTCAAGGGCTAATACATATATATTTAACTCATTTTTCCACAAAGTCTGGAATGTAAACCTATTAACTAACAATTCAGTTTTCAGAGAGAAGAGGGGGTCTTCTCGGGTTTTTTGTTTGTGTTTTGTTTTGTTTGATTTTTCCTCTTTTACTGATTGTTTGTTCTCTTGTTCTCACTAATAAGTTATTCCCTCAATTTTCTGGTCACATTTGCAGAAGACACGACACCAGAACCCAGTATCTTCTTTGCGTCCACTTCAACCCCACATGAAATGTTTACTACTGCAAAATCACTGATGACAGCTAATAAGGGTAAGGGACACTCACTGTGTAAATCTAACCTGAAAAAAACATTGAGGGGAATGTACTCAATGAAATTGCTAGAAAAATGAAAGAGAAAAACCATTCTATCAGGCACAATACTTAACTTAAACCAGTAGCAAAACTGCACAATTTTAAATACGTATTTATAAAGAAAAAATGCATTATTTTATTGCCCAGTGTGAGAAATGCAACTGACCTACTTTGTGGCCTATTAATACTTGTCTGCGATCCAGGCTATGCAATACATTCAGACATAAATTGTTTAACCAAGAGCCTATACGATCTTCATTTTCCTAACATAGGGCTGCCAGTGCATTATGAA